CGTAAGTTAGATAACTTTCTTTTTATCGGAAAAGATTTTCCTTTTCGCTAATCATTTAAAATCAGTTAAATCTATTGAAATTCTTTTGTAGCTGGCCGAAATATAGCGAATGATACAAATAATGAAAATAATTAGTTGAAATCAAGATCATTATGCTTCATGCAAAATGCTTATTGTTATTGCTTGACGTCCTTCCTCTTACTAAGGTCAATTTTTACTAATTTGACCGAAGTAAATAGATTTTGGTAAATATGTACCACAATGAGGTATTTGATGATGAGGGGAATTAAAGATGATTCGATTTTGTTCTTTCTAGTTTGATTATTCCCTATGCGAAGAATTAATCTCTGATTTTGCCTCAAGCCAATTACGGCAATAATTATGACGCATCCGATGTCTTCATATTGATCAATGCAACTCTAACGTAGATGATATTTGTTAAATATGTTTTCTTCATTCTACTGGCGATAAATGGGGAATGCGGTGAGATATTTCTAGACGATTATCAATGAGATTTTTATCAGAAATCTGTATAATCTCTATGTATGAATATAGGATTCACGGCAAATATAATTTTCTGCCGAAATGTTTATAATTTAAAACTAAGTAAATGGGGCACAGAATGGAGCTTCAGTGAGTTATTGCTCTCAATTCGGAGTACCAATGCTGTGGTTTTACTTCCAGTAGAAATGAACCTGTCTTCCAAAAATCCAAACACTACTAGCGACTCATCCATACATCCGGCCAAATGTCCACTTGATTTCTTAGCAAAATTTGACAAGTCAGCTGAATGTGCGTAACTACTAACGACAAACGCTCTTTTAAAAAATGGTTAGCTCTCATTAATTCTAGTTAGACAGTTAGAACAAAAAAAATTTCTTCCAAAGAGTGGTGGAAGTGCAGATGATTGGCCAAAACCATCTGGAAGACCTTTGTTAGAGACAGGAACCATGAGGCATGATACCATCCCACGATTACGACAAATTTATACTTATGTTCATTTATTTCATTTATAGGCATGCAAATGTTGTCAAATATTGTTAATGAGATTTTATAGCAATCACAGTTTCCATTTGTTTATTAGGTCAGAACATCTTTCTCATATAATTATATTATAAATAAAATTTCTTGTCAAAATAAATTTAAAATTTAAAATTTTCGAGTTTTTTTTAATGAAATATATGAGCATAATGCTTGTTTATTCTAATTTTTATTTTTTCTTATAAATTTTCGGTAAAAAATTTTCAATTAAAACATAAAACGAATATTTATTTATTATTAGAAAGAAATAAATTTGCATATTGCACAGTAATTCATAAAAATATAAAAAAAAAGAAAAAAGCACCGCCGAATTTTCAAATAAAAATCGTTTTAGCCGTAGAAGAATGAGGATGCAGGTGCTCGTTCGCTCGTCGGATTCACAATTAATTGCCTTCTTTTTGTAAAATATAAAATTTCTTCAATAGATAAAGCACAAAAAATACAAAAAATTCCAACAATATTCCAATATTTCAGTTATTTTTTTTTTTCCATTTTCCATTTAATTTTATCTTTTATTTTTCGAAATGGTATCTTTCTTACTGAATAATTCGCATCGAAAAGTTTTTTTAGAATTTGTCTAAAAGCTATCGAATTCATTTTATAAAATTTTGCATGCAAATAAATTTTTTTCCCTCTCTTTATTTATTTTTCGTCCATTTTTTTATTTATTTATTCTAAATTTTTCTTTGAAGTTTTTTTTAATAATCTAAATTTAAATAAGTAATCATCAGTTCTCATTAGATTCGTTCCATCAGCTAGGATAAGCGAAACTTCGATCAAAGAGAGGCACTCGTGAAATAGAAATACAGGTGGTTTCCTAGCGCAGTCCGAACTTGTTTAATAACCAATTTAGCTTCTGCACATTTTTCAACGACGTAAAAAAAAACTATGATTTAAGCCGACTTCAAGTGAACAATTCCTTATCAGATTGATTTATCATTTGCCGATATAAGTGTATATAAGATGTAAAAAGTGAAAGCCAAAGTAATCCGAGTGATAACTAAAGCACTTAGAACTGCGGCCTCTGAACTATGGCTTCACCACATTCTCAAAACAATATCAGAGATCCAAAAGTGCGCATTGCTAGGAATAGCTAAAATACTGTGCAGAACCCTAAATCTCCCAGAACTCTGAGAGAGGATTCGAGGTTGAGGATGAAAATGACTGCCCACACGGGTAAGAATGAGGTTTTTTTATAATTTATTTCGAATTTTTTTGTTTAAGCATTAAATCTCTTAAAATTTAAAATTAGCAACGTTCGCCACGAATTAGCTTCCTTCAAAGTGGTTTGTTGTTTAAAATGATTAATGTATATAATAAATTCGTTTTTATTTATGCAATAACGGTTTTCTTCTATAATTTGTTGTGTTACGGACGGCTAAACGCCCATTTTATTGCAAAAAAAAGGAGAGAGATTGTACGATTCTTATAGACAAATCTGCTTTTTCTGTTTTAAGCCTTAGCATTATTTATGAATTTCGTTACGAGTTTAACGAACTAAAATAATCCCATTGACTAATTCAAAATAATAGTGAATTGAGGTTTAATGTGAATTATTTAACTTCAGATTATAAAAAAGCATACTGCAATATTCTTCATTTTGAAGACTATTATCATAGAGCAATTATTAGCATTTAAAAGGCTAAGGCAATGTAATTTTAGGAAAATGCTAATCCCATCCGAATATTCGTTATTAATCATGTTGGCCGAAATAATCTATCGAACGCAGTCTTCATTTATTTGCTAATAAAGCAGTGAATTTTCATCTAAAAAGGCTGTTCGAATTTTTTTCTAAATCGTTTTTTCAGTATCTTTTTAAATATTTCCGCTTTTTTTCCACTGAATTTCTCATTAATTTACGAAAATGAACTGAGAAGTATGATTACCTAGTTTGTTTTAAATTTTTGATTCGGCTAGTTCCATTGAATGCTAGGCTAAAGCATTTCCACAGTCCCACAGAGCCAATGCCAAACTAATTGAATTTCTTCCTAATTCCGCTGTCTAAACCCATATTTTAGTGTACCGCCCTATGCATTATTGTCTTTATTTGTTGTGATTGTTTCGGAAAAAGTCGTTTTAAATCATTTCACTATTTGCACTATTGAAATATTAAATTTGAATTTAACTTTTAATTTATCAGTTAGTATCGATAATCAAAAAGCAAAATTTATCTATTATATCGTTTTTTATTCTCAGTAAATTCATTCATTATAAGATTCACTGGTTTCATTATTTGATTTATAACGATTTATTTATTTAGTGAATATCAAACAGAGCAGTAAGCTATGTGCTCATTTATTATATTTATTAAGGGGAGCTTAAAAAAATTGTTGGAAAAGTAATGAAAAGTAGTTTGGCCAGGCAAAACATTGCTCCGACTAAGAGTTTAAGCGTTTTGGCTTTATATGTCTTGAGGGGAATAAATCTTATAGTTCAACTAGTGCTCGAGCTCAATCTACATTCTTACTGCTTTGATGAAATAATTTCATCCTGGCAATTAGTAGAGCTAGCAAAATGATAGAAAAAGGTAATAATAGGTGATAATAATGGAATGTGGCGTTTATCACAAATAAAGCACAGTTTTTTTGTGCACAATTTGGATATGTTTGACCACTTTTTATCAATTTTGTCTTTCTGTCTAATATCGATAGTGCAAATGTAGCTTGCAGTTTGAAATCAGTTCTGCGCTATCTAAATGCTACATCTCCAAATTAAGTTTTTAATTAATCTGTCTATTCAGATCGCAACTTCTCGCTTTTCGCGAAACTATCGTCTAAAAATTTTTCTCATGAAATTTTATTGATCATGGAAGTGCAAAAAAAAATCAGTTATTTGATGTGGATAATGCTTTGGTCGATTCTGAGAACGCATGAGAATCGATATTTTGAGCAATTTTTTCCTACCAATTTTTAATTTCTACTATCATTCACTTCAATAATTTTAAGCCAAACGTAACGAATAGCCAACTATATAATTTTGTACCTACAGTACTCGATTTTCATGATCAATAAAATTACATTAAATTTGTAATTATACCTTTTTTATCATATCACATTATCATTTTATTTCATAATAGTTGTCATTAACCATTAATCATTCGTAGATTCTTCCTTAGTTTTTTGTTATGACAAAACAAAATGTTACAACATTAAAAATATTTTATCAATGTTTCATCAGAATTTCACATTATTATCTTACTTTGAATCTTATCTTACTCTCTTACTTCTACTTTATACTTTTTACTTCTACTGGCGCATTCCTTTTCTGACTTACCTAGTCGCTAGAACTACAATGCTACTATTTTCCACATAAAACCACTTTAATGGAAGACCTTCAACAGTTGTCCAATATGAATTTCAATGTGCATTTGCGATTTTTCCATTCCTTCAATGGAATCTGTGGTACTTTATTTCGCAATAGGATATGCAAAATTCGCTAAAAAAAGAAATTTGCTAAAAGGCGTTGCGATAAGCAATTTTTCTCATGATCGATACTTTAAAAAAATGGAAAATCAATTATCTTTTTCTAAACTCTCAGCTAAAAAATTTCATTAATCATAAAATGGGGAATCCCTGTTTTATTTTTGGATTTTAATTGATCACTGGTTGTTGTAAAATAAATAGCTAGGCCTCGATGTAGTTTTATTGTTAGGTATCTAGGAGCAGTAGGAAATCTTTGCAATACGCGTGGCTAATTTTCAATACTCATATTTCTTTATGAAGAACTATAACGATATTTATCATTAGGCGAAAGCTGATTATCTTTTATGGACAACGCATAAATTCCGAAAATCCTGAAAATGGTGATCAATCTCTGCTTAGAGATTATTATTAATTAGCTTTTTCTTTTTTCCCGCTTGGTACATTTTGCTGTTTAATCTAAATATTCCAAATTCTAAATATTAATAATCTATTTATTTATTCTTTTTGAAGTAATCTTAGAAAGCTAATCTAATGTGAATGGAATCCTTTCCAGTATTTTAAATAATTTTCCATACCCAATAATTTTATCCATATTTCGTACATTTTAAATAAAATATTTGCTCAAATGTTTATTAATATTTTTTGCACATATAAATATTCTGAAAGATCGAAAGATTTGTAATAATTAATTGCACTTTTTTCAATAAAAATTTCTAATTCATGGGGACTTTTTATTTGTTAATATTATCTTTTAAATGAGTCGCCGAAGAATTTTCATAATTAAAAAACTGAAATTTTGGAGATTTTGGAAATATATAAAATACATTTTCAATACGAAATGAGAATATTAACATAGAATCATTTAGCGATAGGAAGGTGGATCGCCGGCATTACTCGGATTTTTTTGTGGATATATTTCTTCCTATAGTAGCTATTGCCTTTCAACGCGACATTTACTCAGTTATCCTATTATTTTTTGGAATATTAATATGTCTGACTAATTACCATTATGATGGAGTCTAAAATGCTAATATTGCTTTTTTAAATGAAATATTTCATGCATCTCGCATTTGAAAGAAGTTTTAAATTATGCCGGCAACGAACGGACTTTTTTCCATAGGTAAATAAATGCATTTCCATTTCCCCGCGATTTACTTCCCTTCATCTTTATTCTGCTACATACAAATGCTTCAAAATGCAAATTGTAGGAAATTCTCTTTTTAAAAATTTTATTTCATTATTGCATGAATGGATTCACAATGTCTTATTTTGCTAAAAATGCAATAATTTTGCTTTTTTTTATTTAAAAAATCGGAATTTTATGGAATTTTTATTTTAGAACTTTTGTTCGATGCATTTTAGGTTTGCTTCAATATTTTTATTAGTTTTATTAGTTTTCGTGATTTTAATACCAATAATATGGAATTTATGAATTTCTAATTCGTTACGTATAAATTCAGATTCCGGTTTCTTTTAATCAGAAATATTTTAAATTGAAAAGGGATCAGTTGAAATGTGGCAAAAATTTATTAAATCAGATGTAAGTATATATCCATCAAATAGGAATTTTTATAATTTTTAAAGAATATATATATTTATATACGAACAGGAAGGATGTATCCGTTCACTTGGTTATCCAAGCGCGAATGATTTATATTATTTGCCTTTGAAACAGTTCAGCTTGCCGATCCGCCATTATCAATAAAAATAACATGCCTTGAATTCAAATTTATTATCCATTTCTTTCCTATTTTACTGAATAATTTTATTATTTAATTGTTAACTCGGGTTTTCCATTTATTCGCCTGAATTTTGACCACATTTAATTTATTGAACATTTAAAAAAAGAGAGCGCGGAAAATCTTTTTTAAATTTTTCTACATTATTATGATTTTGACGCCAATTATTTTTCTTAACTTTTCATTAATCATATTTCTATTAGTAATTAGTTCTATTTTAATATTTTTTTTTTTGAACGTAATTTTCTTTATGATTCAGTGGAAAAAATTTTTCAAAACAGTTAAAGCAATATATTTGTAGAAATACTAAAAATAAATTTTTGTTCAAACAATTTACTGTATTTTTCTATCGTAAATATTTCTAGCATGAAACACTTTAATTTTTTAACGATTAATCATCTTTATTGGTATAAATTAGCGATTATTTCTGGTTTACTTTCAGTCATTATTTGAACGTTTAAGCACTTTTTTAAATAAATGCTTTTTGTTCGACGATTTTTCTGTGCTTTTTTTAGAGGATTGTTTTAGATCGACAATATTGATATGCATTTTCAATAAATTTTTAGCGATTCGTTCTATGCATTTTGATTCGATTCATCAATATAATTTTTTATATTTTGTATTTTGTATACAAATTTTTTAAAATCATCACATCTGTTTTGTAAATAAAAGAAGAGAAGGAAAATATGCAAAGGAAAATCTGAAAATTTTCATCAATTTTGCTTATACGCGATTATTTCGTACAACAGTTTTGGTTTATAATTATGCTAATTTTCAGTGAAAATTTTTTTTTTCAGCTTATTAAAACAGTAATCTACTGACGAAGTACTTGAATGAATGCGAATTTTAATATTTCCTTTATTTTTTTATCAATTTTTATATTTATTATAAATGCTAGTATTATTACTAAAGGACGACGATTTATTGCCGAAGAGGGCAAAAGTGTTGAGATGCCATGCGATGTTGCTGGAGCTCGTAAGTACTACTTAAATATTTTAAAAAAAAATTCAAATTTTTTTCCAAAAGATATTTATTTGAAATATCAATTGAAGAGCCGGAAAATGTGGTGATTTGGAAACGAGGCGATCATGTTTTATTTACTGATGAAGACGCTCTACATGATGATCAAAGATTTGAACTCCATCGTGAAAATAATGTTAGCTAAAATTTATAGATTCCTCTCATAGGAAAAATTTTAGATTTTACTAAATTTTTTAGCAATTTTTTCTTTTTTAGCAATTTTTTCTTTTTTTTTATTCTTTAAATCTAATCTCAGGCTTTAGCTGATGTTAAGTGTTATTTCCTGGCAATCATGAAACTAATGTGGTTTTTTTTCGCATTTTTGTTGTCATAAAATACTGATATAATATTAGAACATATTTTACAATATGCTAGGATTTATCTTGTTTGAGCAATATTTTATTTATTATTTATGATAGTGCGAATTTGATAACGCTGCATTCTTTTCATTCTTCTGCAAACATTATTCTGCAGTATTAAAAAATTACTGTTGATTATTGAGAATAAAAAATGAACTATAGCTGATTAGTTAAGAAGAAAATAGCAATGCAGTATTTTGCATATTAAGCTTCATACTGTATTTTTGAAAATTTTCAGAATTTTCAATTAATAATAAACAATGTGGAACCATACGATACAGCTGCATATATTTGTTCGACTACCGCTCCAGAATCATCTATAACGCATTATCTTCAAGTTAACGGCAAGCAATAATTTTTTTTAAAGTTGAATTAGATGATTTCAAGTGATTTATAATAGTAATTTCGCATCAGAAGCTAGAAGCTTCCATTGCTAGACTATTAAAAAATAAAAAATATGTATTAATTAAGTATTACAGCGAATTTTAAGCTAAGAAAATGATTATGTTGACTATTTATCAAGTTTAATCAAAGGACACGCAAAAAAAGCTCTGAAAATTATTAAATATTAATCTGCTACAATCAAAATTTATTTTTTTTTAGTACCGCCATCAGTAACAATATCGCCGGATACGAGGCCTTTACTCGTAAATGTTGGTGAAAATGTTGCTGTTAAATGTATCGGTTCTGGCAATCCAACTCCGAAAATTTTATGGACTCGAAAAGTTGGTCGAGATTTTAAGTCCGAAAATTGTAAACGTTTGGAGAACTATAGCAAAAAATTTTATATAAAATGAAGTTTTGTGACAATTTTTGTTAAAAAAAGGTTTTTTCTAATTTCATCTCAATAAGATTTTTAGGGTGCCGATATGCCAAAAAATGCAGAAATAAAACACGGTCAATTGAGGCTGAAACATGTTACTGTACCAGATTCGGGTTTATACGTCTGCGAAGGTTCCAATAGTGTTGGACGCAGTGCTCATGCTTCTATTGAAATTTTTGTTCAAAGTAAGTGAAAATAAATATATTTAATTTTTCAGATATCTATTCGAAGATGAGCTTTTTTTTGATTCTAAAATATATTTTATAAAGTGCTCGTTAGTGAGAATTGTTGAAAATCGTCATAGATTAACTAAAAAGGTTCGAAGAAAGAACCATTAAACGCATTAAGGAATGGAAGGTTACAAACTATTGTAAATTTCCGTCTGATCTCAAATGATCCTTGTTAACAATAATAAGATCAAAGGAATGAATTGAAATTTGTTGCAAGGTCAGTTCGAGGAAGAAATGAAAGATGGTTACTGGTCGGATAGACTCCAAATTTCTCTTCATTAAAGCAAATAATAATTGACTGTATTGATTCATATGAACAGTCTCTTCGAGGTGTAAATAAATATAAATCGAGTGAATGAGCTGTTATAATGGATATTCGTTAAAAGGGATTCATCCAAGCGTGGATGGTATGAAAATCGCTATAATAGGATTTTATGATTGATGTATTAGCTTGAAACGATTGCAATACTATACAAATAATGCGACAAATTTTTAGCATCCATCTGGTTATAAAGTGATTATACGTCAATGAAAGTAACAAAAATTTCCCATTACTTCCTTAGCTTAGATTTTCCTTAGAAAGCTTTCTAAGAAATAACGCGAAGCAGAGGGGATGAATTGAAAGGGAATCGGATGAGAAATGTAAAATATTGGTTTATTCTTGGGTTCTTTTTTTTCAGTGGCTTCTCATCCATATAATAATTTTTATTCGGAAATATAAATAACACAGATTTGCAAAATTTGCTGTTTATTTTTATCGAAGGAAATTAACAAAATAGAATTGAGTGCTGCGGAAAAATAAATTCGCTGACTATGAAATTTAGAAAATTTTTTTTCAAATTTTGCAATTTTAAAAAAAATTTTTACAATGTGGAATGGAATGGTTTCTTTTATCATTTTTCTCATTGCATATTTTGCTTGCATTGTTTTTAATCTATTTTTAATTTTAATTCGATTTAATTCAGTAGACTGATAAAACTTTTTGATTAATTGCTAAAGAAGATAAGATAAAAACCAAATAATGGAACAAAAAATCTGAAAATTCATTTCGATATTTTACTAATATATAATTGTGTTTCAGCTGGACAATATGGATCGCATGAGATGTGTGAGTTTGATACCTTTGTCGCTCTAATTGCATGTTTTAGCCAAGCACTATCCTTTTTATTTGCATTTAACTACTCGACTATGAACAAATTTAGAAATTTCAAAATCACTTGTACAATTTTTCTTTCGCAAATAAAAGAGTGGCAACATAGGACACGTTAGCCAAGTGGATAGCGACTCAAATTATCGTATTAAGAGGAAAAGATTCCGCTATTAGTCCTAACAGGACTAAGCCCTATTATTAAAAAATCTTGGCGATCCACTTATATTTCTTTTCCACAAATAACTCTTTTTTAATTTAACTAACAGCCGAATTAATCTAATCAAGAATACTAAGCACTTCTAATTGATTTTTTTTCAATTTCTAATTTTTATAACGATAATAATTTTAATAAATAATTTTACTTATTATAAAGGTAAAGAAGATAAGTAATTTTATTTTTTGGAAATTTATTATTTTTAAAATATTTTCTCGAAAAAGTATAATTATTTATTTAGATTAGAGAATATATAATGAATAAAAGTGGCTATTAATTTTAATTTGAGTTCGAATGGGGCACAAATAAGTATTGTCATCTATTCCATGAATGATAATGATGATGACATATTTATAATAAATATAATATATATGAGGTTCTTTTTCTTATTCATGAATATTATTGCTTATCGTCATCATCTCGAGATTACTTTATAAAAGCGGTCAATTGTCGCAGAGGACATTTGTTGCAGTGGCACATCTGTCAAAAATTAATAAGGCGCAAAGACTATTCTTACTCTAAGAACTAACCGGATTATTCCTTTAAATGTGTTAATCCTAATAATGATCATGAAAATCCATGAATACTCTAAGTTCATAAAATAACAACTATTCGGGAAGAAATAGAAATTATTAGTTTTTTGTCATTAAATAAGTTTAATTGAAAATTAAACTTATGCTTAAATCAACCCATATCTCCTAGAACATTGCTTCCATTGTAGTTCACCGATTTTGCAAATGTCACACTAAATCTTACAACTTATTGGATTTTTTTTTATTATTACATAAATAACCATCCATCTTTCCTGCACGGATTTTTCCTGTAAAATTTTTTTAATATCACAATAATTTCTGCTTTTCTTGGGTTCATTAATCTCTAAAGTGAGATCCTTTCAGCACTTAGAGATAGAAGTGATATTAAAGTGACGATCTATCAGCAGCACGACGAAGATTTCTTATGTTTAATGGCAGATTGCTTTTTTCATGTGGCACGAATCGAATCTATTTTGCCATTGTTTTTTAAATGAACTAACATATTATCATATCATATCTATACATATTGTCCAATGCACTCGTTTTCAAACCAAATATATCATTCATATCACTCAAAATTATTCTCATAGTTTTAAAAATAATCGTTTTATCAATCGCAAATAATCTTGCCTACTCCAAAATGATTGTAACTGCAAAAGCAGATGGTCATGAAATATGAGCCATGAAGCATTTATAGCTTTTTTCACCCGTTTTCCTTTTAATCTCTTGATCGCTCCACTATTATCTTTTTTACTAATTATTTATTATTATCACAAATTCTTAAATTATAATTTTTTGATCGCATGTTCCACTGTAGAAATATTTTAAAAAATTTATAAAATTTGCATAAATTTGAAAATTTTTTCGCGATTTTCAAATTTTTCTTTCTTTTTAACCAACAAATTAACCATTAAATTCCATTTTTTTTCAATTCCATTCAATTCTATTCTTTCACAGTAATTCATTGCACAATTCGTTTCTATTTTATATGTTTTAATGATATTTAATTTCCTATAAATTTTACTAAATAAAATTTGAAATTATTTTAGCAGCTCCATGGGTCGATTCAATTTATTCATATATACCTGTTGTGCTAAATCAAAATATTAATTTAACTTGCAAATATAATGCAGAACCGCCACCACAGATTGATTGGTACTTCAATTCCAATAATATAAATGTTAATTTTACTGACAATTTTGAATATTTTATTAATAAAATTAATTAAAATATTTACAGTAATTTCTAAGTACCATATAGTAATTTATAATTATATTTATATTTATCATTCAAATATTACTTTTATTATCGTCGATTGATCGGCAAATGACTTTTACGAATGACATGACATGCTCATTTCATCTATATTAATTACTTTAATAATAACAAATTTTAGATCATGAATGACCGTTTTAAAAATGTCGTTTATTATGGAACACGACAAGAAAATTATAGTGAAGCGATTTTAGCCATTCAGAATATTCAAGAAGACAACTTTGGTGATTTTAAATGTAAAATTTCGAATAATTTAGGAACTGCCGAGAAAACAATTCATGTCAGCGGTAATATTTTATGAACTTTTAGTATTTCGAGAAATATTTTATTTGTTTTCGAGAATTGTTTAAAATGAGAAATTTTTCTTTTTAATCGCTCATTTAATATTTTAAAAAGATTTATAAAAATCGAAATTTATTTAACAAATTAAAAAGCGATTTTAATCATTCAAAATATTTAAAAAGACAATTTGGTGATCTCAAATGCAAAATTTCGAATAATTTATACATAAAACAAATTAAAAAATACCATAAAATATTCTATATTAAGTGAAGATTCGTAAAAATTTTCAGTTTTTCTTGTTTATCATTTCTTCTCCATTAGGCTCGCTTCGCTGGCTTGTCGAATTGGGCAACTTTATGCTAAATGTGGCGGTAGAAATATGTTGCCAACAACTTCCGTCTTTTTCTCACCTTCTGAGAAGAGAACTCCAGTATCGCTTATCCGAAAGTGCCACAACCCACTAAACTACTTCTAAATACTTCTACTCAATAATTTAATCTAATAATTAATGACTAATCACAAATTTTGATTGCATCGCAATCGTTATCACTGAAATGTGCAGGTGCAACTACATCTGGTTGTCACCGTATACAAAACAATAATGCATCAACGAAATATCACACTCTTAAAGAAAGAAGATTGATGAATGCACAAAATTCTATTAATCGTTGTCAGGGGGGCCATAAGAAAATGAAAAATTTATTGACGGAGCAACTGCTTTTAATTTATATACATTTTCTGATTATAATTAAACTTATATTTTACTTATATTTTTCAAAGACATTTGTTTATAGGATTATATCAGTTATCTAACCTTTTAATTACCTTTTTCACTTCCTTGGTACCTTCTACCTTCTTCAATGTTCGGTTGGATAATTGCCGGCGATCTGGCTTTTATCGCGAACTGATTCTGACAAGAGATCTCATACTGCCAGCCAGTGAAGTCAGATAGAACCAGAAATACTTGGTGTCGCTCGAAAAAAAATGAAAAAACTGTGGAATACTGGAATTTTATTGTCTATTGATTGGAATTTTAAAAGTATTTAGATTTAAATATTTTTATCTTTTTAAATACGAAAATGTTTAGGTCGGCCCGGTCCACCATCTTTAAATGTCACTGGTACAACCGTTTATTGGACCGTACAGTCTATTGATCCTGTTCTAGAATATAAGATTTTTTATCGTCTTCCGCACGATGATACGTGGCAGTTCTTCAAGTATAAAAGAGCTGAAAAAGGTTACCTTCAGTTATATTATTTTTTTCTATAATGATTACATCAAAACAAAAAACAATTGTATTACTTTATTCATCATTTTTTTGATTTTAAATTTGGTTTTTTGAGTTTATAACTACCAGTTTTGCCCCATAAAAAAATTTGTACGATGCATACTTTTTTCTTGTAAGACTTGCGATTAGTTCTTCAAGAACAAGATCTCCAATTTTCTTTTTCGCTATTTAGAAGACCAGCATGGTGACAAATGGATGAAAAGCGAAGATTTGTCATGGCTTGATCCCGGCGTTGAATATCAAGTACAACTGCAAGCACGAAACGCACTTGGTTGGGGCTCCCTGGCTCGATCTTATGTTACCCTTAGATTGCCTGAAAAGGAAAAGAAGCAAATAAGACGTTAGTTTATTTTTTGAAAAATGACGGTGAAACAATTGAATTAAACGTTTTCCGACCATTTTGATTTAATAATTCCCAGAAACGCATAAGTAAGTCGAAATTGTCTTGCGAAATTTCAGTTATTTTTTGAAAACAAGTTGTTTTGTAACTGTGATTTGACATTTAACTTTGCCAATACGCTCACAAACTTTTATTCAATAATAATAAAAAATAGTGGATCTTATGCTTTGTTGCTTTAGTTTAATCCTTTTTTAACTGCAAATCTTTTCTGCAAAAAGCAATTTATTTTATCCTATAAAATGATGCAAAATATCAATTTTAGGTGGTCTGAAAAACCATTTCAATAGTTTCACAGTGTCAAAATAATTCAAATTTTTAATTTCTCGCATTTCAGATTTCAGATTTTTTTCACGATTTTTTTCAGAAAATATAAAATCAAATGCTTCTTACGACTTTTTAAAAATATCGCATTGTCTCGTTGTCGCATCTGCAGTAATAATGATTTTATCATGATTCTCAGTCTATATTTTTCCATAAATCTTTGTATATTTGATAAAAATGACTGACCGAAATTTTGTATTCAAAGTTCGTTTAATTTAATTCTTAATTTTAAAATTACGGGTGGCTCAGCTAACAACGCATATACATATTTTGTTTATCACCCTAATCAATTCAGTTAATTACGAAATAAATCGAAAAAATCTTCTTGTGAATTTTACTAATTCATTTTTTTTCGTTATTTTTCCTATCCACTATTAATTTAATAATTAATTGCCAACTTTTATTCCTTTTTTCATTTGAAATGAAAAAATTAAGCTACTTAAAAAAGAGGAAAAAATGAGGTCATGCAGGTCATTTTTTTATAGGATTATTAAGTAAAAATGATACACATGAATTTAGCAAATTAAATTTAAAATTTCTTGCAAATTATTCGCTTGTTTTTCATTGTTTTTTATTACGTAATTGTTATGTATTTATAAATTAATAATTACAAATTTTTTTTGTTACATAAATTTTTGCCTTCATTTTGTTGCTAAAATTATATTTCTACTCTTGCAAATATATTTCTTTATAAGCAAATCTTTCTTTTTTTAATTTCTTTTTTTTTCTATTCTCAATTTTATTATACGACGTATTGATACTCTTTGCTTTGCGGAAACGCGAAAGATTTTCAAGAACTCAAATTAAAAGACATAAAGGCATAAAGGCATATAAACAAAACGTTTCATTCGGGCGATTAAGGCAAATTGGAAATGATCTGAAGAAAAATAAATTAATAGGCATCCAATTTGTTTCCTTTTCATTTATTGTTTCATATAATATTTTATATTTGGAAATATTTATATTAATTGTTTAGTGACAGGCTTTGATGTTTCAATATATTCTTATTTTTATTGTAATCACTAAAAAAATAGCAAAAATCATTCTTTGTGCCAAATCTCCTTCAATCATCAGGGAATCTTGGAATAAGAAGAAAGGACTATTGTACTTGCTTTGCTGAAAAATTTCAAAAAATAAAATGCCTTACTTTCTTTTTACATCAAAAATATTTTGTTGCATAATAATTATTAAAATATTTTACTTTAAGAAAGGAATGGACAAAGCAAGTAACGTAAGATTAAATTTATGCAAATCATTCGTTCATGAATCCTTTGAAAGCATTCATTTAGGGAGAGGTAGGACTGTGTGGTTTGAGGAAAACTAATTTAACATAAATTCATAAGAAATTTGGTGAACACAGCTGCTTTTTATCATAGAATGAGAATCAATGCAGTGGGTGAAGGTTAGCAAATAAAGTTGAAAAATAAAAATTAATTTGTTTCGAAATTTCTCCTACAAATTTGGTTAAAAATTTTTCATTGAAGGATCTAATAATAATCATTGAATCGACGAAATGTTCAACTTCTTAAATCATTGGCCATCTCAGTTTTTCAGCCGGAAAAAAGGCGATCCATTATATTCATTACAAATCCAATAGGTGACAAAACCTTACATTGTGACCAATCCACAAAATTTATGGAATTACCAATTAAACTAAAATTAAATATCCTCATTATCGCTTAAATATCTCAAATATGTATATGAAAGAAATTTCTCCAACTTTTCTAATATAATTTATGTCGTGCAAAAGCGAAAATATTATGATTAAAAAAAAAAATTCGTCTGCGCAGAACTTTATCGAATACGATATCGAAAGCTAACTCAGAAAAATCGTGTATCAATCCTTCATTTTTGAATCGCTCGACAAGTTCTTTCCGATATTTTGAATTAAACACTTCTAAATTCCTCGCTAATCCAATTACGGGGTATTTCGCCCAATTTGAAATTACAACATATTCGTATTGCTTACTATGATTATCAATGGGCCCTACCATTACAATCTGATCTGAAATTAGCACAAAATTTATGGATTTGTGTCAATAATGATATCTTTGTCCATTGTTTAAAGCAAACGTTAAGTTTTAGCAAATATAAGTTGTTTGCCTAAATAAAAACTCACATGGGCATGGATTTTCTTGGAAATAAATGTTAACTTTTCGATGATGAATGAGCCCATAACCAAAACCAACTTTTGCTGGGCCTCGAGGACCATTTTCATAAAATGAATCAACTGTTGTAAATGTGGACGTATTTCTGTTCTGCAGTAGGTTCTTAACTGAAAATATTTTTTTATGTACTCTGCTTTAATGAGAATGTCAAATTTCAAAACAGCAAAATATTTATACCGAAGAAGACAAATGAATAGTTTAATATTTTAACAGGCTAACATTCGGTAGTTGGGCAATAACGGTCATGAACACCAACTGTGGATACAACCTGAAAAATATATTTATATATGAATATATTAATATAAAATATATAAATTTTTCTAAAAGTCAAATTTAAGTAAAATTAGGTAAAAAACTTCAGCGGACTGAAAGATAAAATTACAATGATATATTTATCTGCAGTCATTATAAATATACCCATTGATATTTGCCAATGAGAGCGTTTGCATTAATATCTGGCTTCTGAATAAGGCTGAGTAAATAATCTTGAGCTCCAGGAATAAAGCGTAAAAAGTTTTGGAAAAAATTTGGTGATTCATGATTAACGAGCGGCATGTACTTAGGCAAACATCCGCCAGCTCCGGTAAGACTCCCCGTAAGACCGGGAATCGCTGGTACTCCGTCCAACAATGTAATTTCTGGTAAGGTTGGTAATGCTCCATTTAATCTAGAATTAATCCATAAATGAACTTTGTTTGAACTTTCATTTGTTCTACTATTGCAACAATTCGAAATGTCATAATTATATACCATCGATTAATTGCATTTTATTATGGATTCAGCGAAAATAAATGACTAACTTTTTCCACAGATTATCATTGCTTGGATTTTTCTGTATGGCTCGAATATAGTTAATAAGGCCAATACTTTGACTAAAAAATTAATTTTCAAATTTAATGATTAAAAATAATATATCTAATTTGAAAGTCAATTTTAGGCCATTGTTATAAATGATTGGATGGTTCCAAATTTTATGTGACGAATTGCAATCGGCAATTAAAGTAATATTCAAAAATTTTCAACTGTTCCAGCCAAGTTGCTGAGTTACTGATATTACTTATAGAATAATAAAATCAAAATTTTTTTGTGGATTATAAAGGTTTCACGCAAATCGCATAAGGAAACTTCATAATTCAAGTTACTGCTTAGCTTTTTGCATGAATGAAATTTTTTTTTATTTTGCCATTTCGAGTGCTGTTGTGTTACTATACTTTTATTCCATGCGCAATTGGTCATTGTGACAATTCGCCGAAGAAATCTCAGCCTAACAATCGGTGGAGTTAGCCAGACCAGAAAAAGTGAATATTATTATGCGATTCTTCTTTTAAATATTTTAATTATCGATATTATTTATTTAAAATACATTAATTATGCGAACTAATATTTTATGTCAGAAGAATTCATTAAAGTTGGCTAATTTTTTGGTTAAAAAGCTTCTTAAATTTATCGCTTCGCCGTTTTTTAACGATTGTTTTTTGTCTTTTTTTTTGCATCAATTATTTTATTATTTTCCGATATTATTTGAATTCAAATTTTAAGCAACAAATTGCGAAATAAATAAAAAAAAGTGGATAAATCCACAGCAAAGTTTTAGGCCGAATTATATTTATATTTAAAATGAATTAAAATCTTCCTGGTACCATGCGCGACTCTTTATTCTTATCATACTTCTGAACTACAACTAATCTATGTAACACTATTCTATGTTTAATTAAGAAAAAAGCTTGTTTAAACCATCCTTTCTCTAAATTTTATGGATTTTATTGCACTAATCAAAACCAAAATTGCTCTGCAACTATTTCACAAAAAGTACAATTTGCAATATTATCACTCATTTATCAATGAGCTGGAAGGCAGTTCCGAAATGCTGATAAAAAAAAGTAAGCGGCTGAGAAATATTCAGTAAAGCATTATTGATAAGAAAATGAAGTTATTTTAATAAGATACCTGGTAATATCGTCTAAAGGCATTCGTTTACTTGGTTTAGATTCTGTATTTAAGCCAAAAAATTCGAGAATTGACTGCGATTCGACAAAATTGACATCATTAATTAGCAATACGACTGAGATCAGTGGAAGAACCATGGTGATCAAAGACGAATCAATAATCATTCTTAATTGGATTTTCTTTTTCCAATAAATGATTGATTTTCACCGTTTCACTTTCTGTGGCAATTTCGCCCGAAGGCAAAGATTTTTATATTTTATTCTTTCCAAATAATTTCCGTATTTCCAAATTATATCCAAAATCCTTGAAACTATCTCCATTAATCAACAAAGAATAAATGACTGTAAAATCAATAAGAAATGATAAGAAATGGATCAATTTATATGCATCGATTGACAGATAAGATTAAGCAATCTTCTAGGACTTCTAAGAAAACTTAAAATGATTTTAACAGTTCATAATTTCAAAATTTTTTAACGTTTGTAACGTATTTCTATATAATTACAGACACCTTTCTAAAAAAAATGCGAAAATAGTGAAAAATAATAGTTATGATTATTATTATTATTACACTAATTATTATTATTTTGCAAAAATATGAAAAGAATTTAATATTAAAAGAATAGTTAATAGCAATTAATTATGGCTTGAATTTATAAAAAAAGCATTTCTTTAGTGGCAGTGCAGGTGTTTAATATCGCATATATTCTCAATTTGCATTTATTAGGAATAAATAGAAAATGCAAAACTTAAATTGACTTAAATTAATTTTATAAAAAATATTAAAAAAAAGGTTGTGCGAAAATAAATTTCCTACTGGTTTCGAAGTAATAAATTTTTATTATTTTAAACTGTGATCTTGAAGGCAATTTATTTATTAAGTGAGCAATTCTCACATTTATTATCGTATCACATCCACTAGCTTGAGGTTCTGAACCTATTGGTAGCAAAAACGGTGTGAGTACCGATTTTCAAGTGGTAAAAATTTTTATTAATGCTGATAAAAGCTTTAATCAGAAGTGATATTTCTTATACTAAACTGACTGCAAAATATCAAAATTTTAATATTTAATATTTATATTTTCAGTAAATTTTATCCAAAAAAATCTTCCAAATGAATGCATCGATTGAAATATTCGCTTAAATATAGCCAAGGATTTTATCAATAAATTTTTAACAAATTAATATTTCATGGAAATAAACTTTTAAACTTTTAACTAAAGTCAATTTATCCTTAATTTACTTTCTGTAATCACTTTTAGGCGGTTTAATCAAAACGTTGCCTATGACAACCATTTTATATAATTTTCAAGTAAATCGCCATTGTCGTCTATTGCATTCTAAGGCATTTTTGCGCGTAATACGCTGGCTGCTTCGATTGTTTTTTTCTAAAACATTTTTGCACTAATAATTTATTAAATTTTCTTCTTAATTTTCTTTTTCTTTTTAATTAAACTTTCAACCAATTTTATTTTGTTTTTATCGAAGGAATTTGACTTTTATCTAATTTTGTTCATTTACATTTAAACGATTAAAATTATTTTTATTCGTAGGCATTTATAACAAATTACTAATAAATTATGGATTTATACGCTTATACTTTGGCAAATTTCACGAATTTTTTAAATAAATCAGATAAATTAGCCCTTGCGTCGAATCAGAAATTTTTGTTAAAATTTGATTATTTCAGAAAAACAAGTATTTCGAAGCGATATGACTTAAATCTCGCATAGGTAGTTACTAATTATAGAATGGGAAGTGGATTTAGTAGCTCAGAAAAGAATCGACGAAAGGAGAGGTCCGAAAAAATAGCGCGACAAATCGACAAGAATATTCAGAAAGAGAAGAATTCGCGAAATATTTTTCGTATACTCCTTTTAGGTTCTTTTGCTTATAAGTTATTTCTTTTTTTTGAGGATCACGAATATCGCTTCTTATCTACTTACTTATTCATCAAATTATAGCAATTCAATTTTTTCAATTTTTTAATATTTTTAATATTTTCAAGTTTTTACAATTCTAAACATTTGTTACCGAAAATTTTTACGAATAAATTTTCAACTATAATAATGGTAATACTAATAGTAATAATGATAATAATAATAACACTTTTAGTAATAATTAAATAAAATTTTACATTTGTATAAATATAAATTTTTATATTATACATTTATTTCGATGGCAATATTATTTTTCTAATGTAATTTTGACTATTTCCAATGATTTCGATTTAGTTACTTATCCATTAATTCTTATTAATTCTTTTGTGTCATTTTCAAAATCCCATCTCTTGCAATATTTCGAAATTTAAACACCAAATTCAAATAAAAAAAATTTTTATAAAAGATTATTTTAGTTTAGCTATGTTTCAAATTATTTACCATATTGATTCAGCTTAATTCTTAGTCATAAATTTAATAAATTTAACTTGAAAATAAAATTGTTCTTTTCTTATAGGTGGTTCAGAATGCGGAAAAACTACGATTTTCAAACAAATGAGGCAAGTTTTTCCACCCATCTAAAAAACGATTAAAAGTGCAGTCCGTTTAGTCCGTTATTGACATAACTGTATAATTTTGTACTTCTTTCCTTGTTTATTTTCAAAAATTCCGATTAAAAAGGAAAGGATTTGTACTACAGTGGTACTTTTTTTTATTTTTAAACAACGTGATGATAATGTTGTTAATATTTTTTTCTAATACGTCTCTTTTCCGCCCACCATTTCCGAGTCTGCTAGCTTGTTCGTCCAAACAAATTTTGTCTCAAGGTGTTGTCTCAGTTGGCAATAGAATTACAGATTAGTTACCCGATTTTTTTGAAAAAGTCGTTCCTACTCTTATCAGGAATAGAAATCTGATATCAGCGCTCTAAAATAAGGAGGTCCACTAAGCCATCCCTTCTCCACCAACATTATTCATTGATAATTGGTTAAATTTGATTGAAAAAATCATGAAAAATCTTGAATATTGCATCTTGACAACTTTATAATCCGGATTTTTCTAAACTCGGAGACAATCCAGAAAATCTTCAAATCATCATTTGCAGAATCCTTCATCTTGATGGATTTTCTGCTGATGATAAACATCGCTATCGACAGTCAATACTACATAATATCGTTGATTCTATTGCCCTTATGTTACATGCATGTGAAATATATCGTATTACGCATGAAAATGTTATACAGGTACCCCGCTTTAAATTTTCGCAACTAGTTGCTATTGTCGTTATTATGTTATTATTTAGAAAATCGTTTTATCCACCAAGTTCACTGAAAAAAATTGTCCTTTTTATATTTTTTTATCATATTATTATTGTCTAGACAAATTTAATCAAACTTAATCGGTTGGATCAAAAAAAATTGAGCTTTATAAATGTCTCGGGAATTTCCAAAGATATAATTGTGTTAATAATCATTGTTCAAAAATTGGCTGATTTTTTTTTGGAGGAGAGAAAAGAATTAATTAAACCTCATATCTGAGCTGGAATAATTATGACAAAATAATGAGGCAAATCGTCCTTTTTATATGTAATATATTAAAGAAATATAATAAATTTTAATGACTATATCGGCGGCTTAGTGGGCAAAATAACTGCCACTAGGAAAATGACTTAGGGTTGGACCCGCTGTGCTTCGTCGAGTGTCCTTTCGCTGATTGAGACAGCAGGTTGCTTAGTTTGGAGCACTGATGCTGAGGTTCTTCGTCTATCAGTCGTTCAAAAATCCGAGTGGTACTTCTATTCCGAATAGCTTCATAGCAAAAAATTGTTCGATTTGCCAAGCCAAAGGAATTCGCTTAACCAACAATAATGAGTGCTCTTAGAAAAAAAGACGAGAAAAAATTGCTAGAGCGTTTTATAAATTTGAATTCACAGTTTAGACAAGAAAAAAAATTTATAGTTGATTTTACTTTATTTATATTATTTGCAGGATAAAGTGAACAAATTTTTATTATTTTATAATGAAATAAATGAAGATGTCGAAGTTAATATATCCGGCGAGATGGCGGATATTATACAATGCCTTTGGCAGAGTAATACTTTACAGTTGGTGTATAAACGAAGATTCCACTATCAATTACTCGATAACGCTAAGTTGTTCGTTTTATTTTCACTTCTCAACCTAAAACAAAAAGATTATTAATAGAGTTGGAAGCAAAACTTTGATTGAGAATGAGTGCGATTTAAGATATTCAATCAAGCCATTGTATCTGGGAACACATCATTCGACTGGCAAATTGCTTCAGCTAATGATTAGACTATAATGCGATTAGTACCATCTAACAACAAAAATTTTTCGTCAAAAGTATAAATGGAACTACATCGAATCGTGAGAGATTTTCTGGCAAAAACGCCTCATCCAAGCAGCCAGAAAAACCAGAAATAATGAATACCGTTAGAAGAAAGACGATATATCACTAAATTGTTTAAATTATTCACTTATCCAAATTATAAATATGGCAGGCAAATCTCGATTATTTCTTATGATGATTGGTTTATTTAGCAATGAAAAAAAATGAAATTTATTTATTTTTCGGCATTCAATTTTCATGGTTTTTTCTTCCAGTTTTTTGGATAGTATTGAAAGGATAGCTGCGAAAGATTATTCACCAACAACTCAGGACATATTGCAATGCCGTTTCCGAACAACGGGCATTCATGAAATGGATTTTATGTACAAAAAATTAGATTTCAAGTAAAATTATTATTATCATAAAAATTATTTGAATTATAAATTGTGATACTAGTTTTATAAATTTTACAAATACATTCATCAGTCAAGCTAACTGTATTTTGCAAATATCGCAATTAGAAAATCCGTCTTCGACATGAAATATGAATTTGAAATGGAAATACAATTCTGCTTATTCTAAATTCGTTGCTTCTATGAGAAATAAAAATCTTAAAGGATGGTCGATGTCGGAGGACAACGATCTGAAAGGCGGAAATGGATTCACTGCTTTGATAACGTTAACATGGTGTTATTTATTGTTTCAATGAGCGATTTCGATTTGTGCGATCCAGAAGATGAGACACAAGTATTTTTAATAAATAAATTAACAAAATTATTGGACTTTATCATTTTAAACTACTTTTTAAAAAATATACTATTTTTTGTGATGCAATGCAATGCAATCTGCGCTTTTCGATAATTTTATAAGTTTTTTTAGTTGGTTCAATGAGCATATCGACTGATCGCTTTTAATGAAGCGATATCGCTTTTTTTAGATAGAACAGTATCACCTTTATTTATTAGAATAATTTGATCATATCCTGCAACGAGTCCAAGGAAAATCTTTTAATTAATTATTCGTTTTCATATAACCAAGTTTAATTCAATTACTTTCAAGTACGCGTTATTGGTATAGGAAAAGGCGAAATTCTGATTTTTTGCTGGCTAGCGAAATCTGTTAGGAAAGTATTTTTCAGAATCGAATGATACAAAATCAACAAATTTTCAAGACAATTGTTCAAAGTGACTATTTTAAGAATGCTTCCATAGTATTATTTCTTAATAAATACGACATTTTTCAAGAGAAAATTAGACATTCTTCATTAAAGAAGTGTTGGCCAGAATACAGTGGTAAGTAAAAAAATTCTGGCCTTTTAATCAGTGAACTGAAAATTTTTATCATTTTTCTTGTTTTCATTGCCTGCGTTACTGTAAGTTCTTTCACTATTTTTTTATGATAATATGAGGATTAAATAATTAACAATAAAAGGCAAAATTTGTTGTGAGAAAAATTACTTAATATAGGCAGACAATTTTGAATTAATTATCAATATTTTAGGTGATAATTCGCTTGATGAATGCACAAAATATGTAAAAAGACAATTTCAACTCTGTGTACCCAATCACCAAAAATATTTTCCATTCATTACAACAGCAACAGATACGAATAATATAGATTTTGTATTTAGTACCGCAGTTGCTCATATTGTGAATCAGAATCTTAAAGCTACTGGTCTTCAAGAATGAAATTTTATGAGGTGTAAAAAATTTAAGGGATGAAATGAATATTTAAATAGGTATTTATCATTTGATAAGCTTTTAAAGGGTTATTGATGAAAAAGAACCGCTTTAATTAGAAAGCAAAAAATTAAGAAAGTAATTAGCGCTAATCATTTCCGATCAAGATGCTAGCTATTAGCAGTTAAAAATTTTTTCTTAAATTCTTAAATTTTTTCCAGAGAATGAAAGCATAGGCGAATCGTCAGTACCATTTCCACATCTTAAGAACAGATTTATTTTGTCGATATAGAGCCGAACATTTGCCTCTCAAAAACGATAATCTACCAGCACTCGATTAATCCGTCCGTTTTTAGAAATTTCAAATTTATTCAGATTTAATTCTAAATTTATTAAATTTATAAATTTGAGTTCAATATATGCAATATTAATGCTTAAATTTTCTAATAATCTATTTCTTGAAGAAATCCTATAGAACTTAACAGTTTTTTTCCTTCAATTTTGAGAACTTAAATTAAATTGTGATTATTCTATAAGCTCAAATTTTTTTTTAGCGAAATTCTTTAATTCAAATCGTTTAATTCGATTTGTTGAAAAATTTTCTGTGATATTTTATAACTTAATTATAGTTGCATATTTATCAATTTATCACTTATTATTTATATTTCTATATTTATTAATTTGTTACTTATTACTAATTTGTGTATATTTATTAATTAAGTTTTGTAATACGTCGAAAAAAATATTAGTTGAATGTAATGCTTTTTCAAATAATAAAGTATGGCAGCGATTTTAACGATTTCTAAATCCTTTTTATAAAATCAATTTGTTGATTTTGATTTGATTTTATATAAATGAAATATTATTGAATAATAAATATTTTTATTTCGATATTATTATCATCTTTTTTTTGAAATTTAATTCTTTGAAATAATCAAAGAATTTCATAGCTCTTTTCGTAAACATATTTTTTATATAGTTATATATTTATCATTTTTTATCCAATAAAATAAAGAGAAATTTCCAGTTTTCTCTGAAAAAAGACTTTATTAAATTTAATTCTCAAAAATTTTTTTTGTCATTAACGGCACGAAATAAATTCACATATACCCAATTTAATAAACAATTCCTAAACGCAAAACTAACTCGATAAAAATTTAAAAACAATTTTAGACTTTTCTTTTGAGAAATTCCTACTGAATAAATGAATTTAACCTATTTCTTCATTAAAGAACTCGTCAGGATTATAATTCTCTTGATAACGACCAAATGATTATTGCTAAATATATTTAGCAACGATTGTTGCGAAATATATTAGACTAAATAAAATTTATGTATATTATATATATATATATATAAAGTTAGCGAAATTCTTTAATTCAAATCGTTTAATTCGATATATATATTAGCACTGATAACCTTAAAAAGTCGATATCATATTGTTGCATGAATGAATGCCTCCATGAAATTACCGTAAACTTGTTTAATTCAAGGGTTTCACAGCGCATTTAATTAATATTACACAATTAAAAGAAAAAAATGATTGTATATTTTTTTCATTTTTTCCTCAAATCATAAACTTTTGATTAAAACCCGACAGTCATTTACTTTTCAATTATATAAATTGTTGATTGCGAAGCAAAATCTTACTTCAGCATTAGCATTTTTAAGCATTATTTAGCAATATTTGACAGACCAAAATTGATAAAAATGGACGAATAAGTGAGGTTCAAATATGATGGACAGAACAAAATAAAATAATAAAAGAATTGATAATAATTAATTTTTAAAAAATACGTGAATATTGACGGCATAAACAAATAACAACGAAACGAAAGACACAAATAAACATATAAAAATTTGCATAGATCAAGTAATATTGTTCCAAAGCACCAAAGATTTAAGCGTCTAAAAATTTAAGTTTAAAAATTGCCTCGTTTACCTGTGTTAGTCATTTGAAGGACGTATTTTGTGATTATTTCGATAGAAATATTCGAAATGAAATTAACAATCGACAACTAAATTAGCCATATCTTTTTCATTGAATCTATCTGATTCCTTAAGTTTTTTTTTGCAGAATTTTAGTACTATTGGTGATTTCGCTGAACATTTTATAGTTATTAACAATGCACGGAAAATACCTTTTCCTTTTAACCGGCATCATTTACTATTAAAATAATTGCCAATATTTGATTTAGAATCGACGAATTCAATTTTGCATAAATCTGCTATTCCTCCGATACCTTCTGCACTGGACATAGTCGATGATCCACCTCGTCCACTTGAGGTCGAGTCTAGAGAATAGCGTCTCTGCCTTGATCCATCGTTATTCACTCGTTCCATTCCTGATTTTCTTCTATCATCGCTTCGAACTGCGGCAGTTCTAAATAATAATAAATAAGTTTGATGATAAAAAATCTTTATATTAACAAATATAAAAAAAACACCTAAAAAACTTCTATTCTTTGCACCATTGATAATGTGATAATGTAAAAAATTTTATAATCGCGAAGATATATTGCTGACTTACAAATCTGCATCTCGAAAGCCAATTAATGATCTATGTTCGTTCGATTTTGAAGCGTTCAATGTTGTTAATTGAACTGTGTTTGGTTCGCCTATCGACAAACCGGAAAAACGTGAATACCGATGAGTTGGAAAAGAAAACCTTGATAACAATGACCTATCTGGAAAAAAAATTTCCATGTATAATGAGAAATATCTTAGCAGTTGTTCAAGAAAACTGAAACGAGCCATTACCTTTTAGCTTTTCACTGTTTCTAGTATTCACATAGTGGTTTAATTCGCCGTCATACTTGTCAAGCAACTCTTCATCATTATCATTGTCTTCTACAAATCTTGCCTTTGGATAATCTTCCATGGTTTGCATGATATCATTTGATAAGTCACAAGTGTTTGTTGTGTCGAAAACCATTGATGAGTTTGTTGCCGGTGGCCAAAGTGGTGAGCCAATTGCACTATCAGTTGACATCGTTGCTACGCTACTTTTATTCACATCACGATAGAATCTAAATTTTTTTACAATAAATAAAAAATAATAAAATTTTTTAATTCTATATAGTCAAATTTGATTCGATATGTAAATCGAATTTATACTGTTCAATTTATCATGAATACTCACAAATTCGTCTTTTAAAATTCGCTTTTCTAGAAGAAAAACATTTAAATTTTAATAGAATAGTTTGCATCAATAAATAATGAATAAAAAATTGAAAAATTTTTAATATTTATATAATAATAAAAAGTAAAGCAGAATTGACGCGTTATAGTTGAAATTTTCATTGCAAATTTTCATAAAATTTGAAAATTCCATAAATTTTTCGTCATTATTTGTTGCACTCTTCTGCTTCAAATGACAAAGAGATTTATTTTTTATCACATTTTGGCTAAATTAATATCAAAAAAACAATAGATACAAGAAATTTTGAACAAACAGGTCTCATTTATCCTCTTTAATATAATAGTAATAATAAATAATTCCTATGCTATGAAACTTTTTCTGGCCAATTTTTATTAAAATTTAGTTTCGATCCATTCTATTTCAGCCTATAATTCTATTCTATATTCTATAAAACTGAAATTAAAATGCATTAAATGCATAGCCAATATTAATAATATTTAAGTAAAATGCATTTTTAATGGCGAAATCTATTTCCGTGATCGTAGAGACTGGAATCGGAGCAATGCTGCATTCCATTAGCCGAATTTATCAAATGGCTATGATAATCAGTCGCTAAACATCTAATTGCTTTTCTTTTAATGAGAGAAAATTAATAGAGAGCTTTCCATTAGTCGAATTTAATTTAGCATTTTCGGATAAAAAATATTGATAGCCATAGTTTAGAGAGAAACTTAATAATAAAATATGCAAAAAACATTGGTAATTTCAAATATTATAATTGAAAAAAATTTCAAATTTGGAATTTTTAAATTAAATTATGATTTAGGAAATTAATGAAACAGCTTAAGTAAATTCCTCTAATCCATATTTCAGTGAGATTCGATTAAAATGATTTTGCAATTAATAAAAAATCGCATTTTTTAAAACAATTTCTATTCAATTTATACAATATGGCGCTATATAACAGAAACGAAAATATATACAAACCCGATTCTTAAGAATATCTCAATTGTAGAATAAAAATAAGACAAAAAATTGGCGTAATTTTGCGAAATTCGCAGATTAATCTATTTTTAAAATTTTTGGCAGTTTTTTGAAAAAAATTGTCACAAAAAAAATGTTTGTTAAAATACATAAGAAACATTCTTATCAATTGATTCGATCAAGAACTTTAACTTAAATTCTGCAAAGCTAAATTGTTTCGAATTTGGATCGTTCTTTTTGAGAAAATATTCTAAACTATTTTGATGCCAACTAAGAAGACAGAGAAAGGCAAATAAATGAATTTTAATAATTAAAGTTACGGGGTTTTTATCGAATCTGCTTTGTCCATCTTAGAACTTCTGATATAAGCAAACTCAGAATCGGAATCCACTTGATGCGCTAAGAGTACTGGCCGGCCATGTCTTAATAAAGGCGTTGAATCATTTTCAAATCGATCCCAATCAGAGTTTTCTATTGGCTTTAAAAAAATTCGGTTATTTGTTTGTATTTTTTTTAATAATAGTTAAACATTAATCAATTTGGTGAACCATTTATTTAAAATATCATTTGAGAAAATATGGAGAATTTGTCGAAGAAATTAGTAAATAAAGCACTGAAATTTTATTGTTATTTTTGCCATTTTAGGATTGGCTTCCTTCCTTGTTTCCTTCTTTTTAATTATCACTTTTGATTACTATTGGTATTTATTTGAGGTATTAAGAATAATGGCGAAGATATTGAACCTCATTGGCGATAAAAATAGGCTCCGACAATGGTCGAATTTTTCTGCGTGCAAGCAAACTTCCGGAATTTTCTAGAGGTGGCGGAGGAGCTACATTGTTCAGTTGTTCCCCGGCTTCACTTGTCATTGATTCTAATTCCAAATAATTCTGCAATTTATTATTATTTTCTTTCCTTTCAGATTTGTCACTTTGAAATCTGCGAGAGAAAAGCTTATGAAGCAATATCAAAGCGAATTTCACGTGGTTCCAAAAGAAAATATTCATAACGCTCATTTTAAATTTAAAATTATTTTCATTTCCTTATTATTATTATCAATCCAAATGAACTACCTCATTTTCATGAGCTGATTGTGTTAAAATCCAATCAAAATAATCAACAAGAACGTTAAAACTTGGCCGATTTTCCGGTTTCTCCTCAAAATATCATAAACATTCTTATTAGAAAAACAATTTAACGATCTATTTGGATAATTGATAATTTTGTGCATAACGAATTTAATGGCTTATTATTCATTCTTATTCATTGAATTTTGTAGAGGTGAAAATTGGAAAAATACATTTTTTAGAGAAATAATGATAACTATCAGACATTTTGAAATTCTCATGATATTTCTCATAATTTTAACAATTCAATAAGCAAAATAGGCACGATTTTATCGAAAAATGCATAATCACCTGCCAACACGCAACCATTACATCATATATTTCTTCTGGACAATTGTCTGGTGATTCCATTCGATAGCCTTCTTTTAAGCACGAATACAATTGTTGCATTGCAATCGATGGATACGGCGTTCCGCCAAGAGTCATTATTTCCCACAACAATATTCCAAAGGACCATCTAAATTTTAACAGTGATTTAGAAATAAAATTTTTTTTCCAGCTGAGAATCGCGAAAAAATCTATAAATCCAATCTCTTTGAGGTGTAATGTATAATAGATACAGTGTTAATAGTGAAAACAGATAAAAGATGATCAAAAAGTTCGAAAAAAAATATCAACGATTTAAGATTGAATTCCATCCAAATAACCTACACATCACTCCATATTGTGTAAACATGCGAATCGAGCGCTTCAAGAGCCATCCATTTAATAGGTAATCTGCCGTTACCCTTTTTACGATAATAATCATTGTAATGAACATCTCGTGACAAGCCAAAATCCGATATTTTCATAATAAAACCGTCAGCGACAAGAACATTGCGTGCTGCTAAATCTCTATGGATTATCTGAAAAAACTGCTGGTTAGTTACGAGGAAAGAATCCATTATGTTCTTTTAATAAAGAATAATAAAAGGTAAAAGGCAAATAAAGAATTATAACCAAATTTTCATAAAATATGATTATATAAAAATGCCCCAACCTTTCGGCTCGCCATGAATTCCATTCCTTTAGCTACTTGCCATGCAAACTGGACAAGATGACGCTGTGTAAGATGTTTGATCAAAACTGGTTTGTCTTCATTTGATACATGGTTTAATTCTATTTTACGCGGTTCCAGATATTGATCGCTTGTTAGACCTGGAGAATATTGGTCTCGTGAAGCGTTTTCACTGTCGTTAGGTCGATGTGCACGTAAAAAATCCCTGAAAAAAAGTCTCTATTCAAGGCTTCGCTTTTTACTAGAAATATAAAATGAATATTAAAATAGCTTTAGAAAATCTATGGATATTTTGAAATATTTCCATATTTCTATGATGGCAGACCTTAGATTTCCATGCTTGCATAATTCCAGTATAACATAAAGTGGCCCCGTACCAGTGCAGCAACCAATTAAACGAAGTAAATTCTCGTGATTTCCAATGCGTTTGAATGTTTCCATCTCGCTTACTAGATCAATTAATTCTTTTTCGTGTGCTGATGCTTTCAATTTTTTTACAGCAACTGGAATCTGGAAAATATATATGCCATTTGAGGCCCCCTATGGAACTAATTTTATTTTCTCACAAATTACCGATCATTTTTTTCCACAATATAATGAATTTCACTAACTTCAGTTGTTCTTTCAGTTTCATTATATGTATTTGGTTCACAATTCATTTTAAGTTGTGCACGCCAAACTTCACCAAAAGCTCCTTCTCCCAACATATTTACGAAACGAAGCCTAAAAGATCTCAGACTGGGAACGCATAATTATTTAATTATAATATTTTTTTTATTTGTATTTTATTTTATTTACGCTAGGGATTTTAAAAATCTTTCTTAAAAAATATTTAAAACATCATTAGAATTTTATTTCTCGTTGCCTTAATTAATGCATATAACAAAATTAGCTTGGAATAATAGGAAAATTAAAATCTGAGCCATGTAATACAGATTTCAGCAATCTATAAAACCTCAATATGAATAAAATAATTTACTAATTAATTAATAAAGTAATAAATACTTGGTACCTTGATCGATCTACTTCCCATGCAGGATCTGGTGGAATTTCGTAATCTGTCAACAAGGTTAATTCACTGGATAATCGTGGTCGTCGAAGTCCTGAGGAAGCAATAGGTTCTATATGGATTTGATATGTTGAAGGCATATCGGACCAACCGTCCGTCTCTTCTGGATCCACAAATCTTCTTGTTATTATAACCTATTGACAAAGAGATCATTTATTTTGAGAAATAATTCTGAAGAAAAAAGGTTCGTGCAATAAAATTTGTCATCAACTAATAGAAATTTAAATGATTTCAACGATAAGTAGATGTATGCAGAAACAAATAAATATTTTACTCTTTTCTTAACGGGTCCAATGTATTGTTCCATTTGTGCGATCTGTGCTTTCGACAAATTTCGCACTCGAAATACGTAAAAAATAACTGCAACCAACATTGTGACCAATAATAAAATTAGAAGGCTAAAGGCAACAATTGAACTTGTCGACCATTCCGATTCAGGATTGCCAGTTGCTAACGTCATTGCATGGAACTCATTCACAGTAAGAGTCGCATTTGCAATCGCCTTGAATCATAATAAAGCTTTTTCTATATTATCATGCAAATGCCGATTTTTTTATTATATTATATTGTTATGAAAATGAATATAAATTTATAAAAACAACGATTGTATACTGCAAATTTAAATTTGCAAAAACTAAAAGATTGAAATTTGCATAATTTTAGAAATCATTAATTTCTTCCATAAAAAACAAGCGCTTCATTCATTTTTTTATAGCGAAAATTGCTAACTGACATGGCCCAAGTGATTGCCTGAAACACAAGCATACATTCCTTGATCAGCTAATGTCACATTTTTTATTGTCAGTGTCGATGAGTCTTGCGACGTTTTTGTTATAATTGCGTTCTAAATTAGAACTGATGATCAAATAAAGATTTCGCGAGAAAGATTTCATTACAAAATCGATAATTTCATTTGTTTAGCTAATTAAAATAATTCATTAATAATTAAATGAATAATTTTAAAAAAATACTTAAATAAAATGAATAAAATAAAATGAAAATTAATTAATAAATGGTTAATTTTAAAAAAGTATTTCAATAAACAATGAAATAAAATGAAAATTTAATAATTATTTATTTAATATTTTAATACTTAATAACAGTTAATAATTTTTAATGGAATTTTTGTGAAAATATTTTTTTCACCAATTTTCTCAAAATTATCACAAATTATAACATCGTGGATAAATTTTCGAAATGGGTTGGCTCAGTGGGTTATTGCTTTTATTTAAGGGCGCCGATATTAGAGTTCTATTCACAGTAGAGTAAGCGTGTCTTTTAAAAAATTATGTCCGGTGGTCCCCTAATTTTATCATCAATCTAAAATTATTCTCTGCCAAAAATTGTTCGATTCGAGAGTGGAACGAACCTAACCAGAAGTAAATAGGAGCGCTCTTAGAAATAAATTGCAAATATATTATATACATATCATTCGTTTGAATGACGGAAGTAGAGTGATAGAGTAATAAGGAAGGACGAAAAATTTTTATACCCCGACAGTCTGCATATCCGTATATTTGAATATATATTTATGGTCAGTTTCATTCCAATAATAAATTGAATCATTTGTTAATTCAATTCGCATCCATACTATATGTGGCGTTAAATCCGATATGACCTCCAAAATTATATGCTTTAGTTAAGAAGGAATTTTTCTTCGAAGAGACAGAAAAATCTTTAGTATAAAGTAAAAATCTTTAAGAGAAAAGCAAGGGGAAGTAAAACAAATGGAAGATTAAAATGCGGAAGTAGGAGGAATATTGGTTAGCAACGTATTTGCAAACCTATAGTCTCAGTATTCTATAAATTACTTCTTATATTTTTAAAAAATCAAAAACCAGCTGGGAAATTTTGGTGGATTTTAGTTCTCTGACATACGTCGGACTAAAAGTTTTAGGAATTCTAAAAGTTTTAAGAATTTTTAAAATATTCTACATACAATTTTCAAATTTTTTCAATTCATTTAAGACGTGATAAAAATAATTTCCCTTTTCTTATTTTTTTTGCTAATGAATTCAATTATTATTCTTTTAGAATGGTTAATGCGATGAATGGTAAAAGTTTTTGCCAGAAAATTATAAAGGAATAGAAATCCAAACCTAGTACCATCTAGATGCATGACGGCAGGCTTACTCTTAGGAGAGGTAGATGGAGAAGCACGACAGGCGAGGTGATTTTCTGAGCATGATAAGCATTTAATTGTTTTGCTCTCATATCACTGGGAGAGATAAATTTGGTCTCTTAAGATTTTAGATTAAATTTGAATATGATGCTCAGCATCTCGATTTTTTTATCAATTTTAAGGATCGATGATAATGATAATTTGTTTCAATGACTTATGAATTGATTTTACTTTGCAAGTGAAATTCACTGTACTATTCGCGTCAACTGTTTGATTCACTAAGATATTTGGTACTATAATAGGCTTCGATCGCATTCTATCGACAACCCTTAGTTTAAAAGTACGAGTAACAGAACCAGCTGAATTGAATGCCTGTAAAAAGTTAAATGACATTATTCTTTCGTAATTTACAGACATAAATAAATTGAATGCCTAAATTAGACTATACACATTAAATCTATATTATTCACGTCAAAATACTTCACAGTATTTATTTTAAGGTGAAACCTCGCAGGTATATTCTCCTGAGTCAGATTCTGCGACATCTTCTATTTCCAAAGTGTTCTTTCGTAAACGAAATTCTGAGCCCATCGACCGTCGAACTTCTGTTGTTATAACTTTTTTCTTATTATTGAACCATATTACCTACAAATAGATTTATCACCATTTCCGAATTAATTTTTTGGGATTTTATAATTTTTATTTCTGTGAGGATATGCGATAGAAATTGTTGTCAGCTATTTCTATGATTTCAGAAATGAGTAATTAAGAGAGAAATTGAGTTCGATTTGCTTTAATTTGGTTTATCTTTGATTTAAATTCGAATGCTCTAGGCTTAAATTTCGAGCCATCTACCTTTTAAACTTTGATTTTTTAAAAAAATGATAAGAAAGATGACGATAGAACATATAATTTGAGTATATAATTTGACAGTTTATCAGCAGTTTATTTCAATGAAATTGGAGAAATTAAAGTCGGAGATTATTTGCCGTTGTAAAACCTGAGGCTCTGGTTGTCCTCCAGCTTTGCATTGCAATTTTATCGTACGTCCTGATGGAGTGATCACAGAAGTTGCTGCATCTTCATCGCGAACTTTGAAATATGGTGGAACTATAAAATTCAAGATTATAAGTTTGAAAATTGTCAGAATTAAACCAATGAAATTATAACCTTTTTGTGGCGGAAAACTGAGCCGATTTGGACGTATCGTTGTCGTCACAACATTTCGTGTTACCGGAACGGAAATTTCAAATTTAATTGTTGAATTTGTTGCAAAAGATCTTTCGAAATCGGGTCGGGGCTGATCCTGCATGAGCTCATCTTTGTGCACTATTTTTGTATTATTCATACCTTCTTTTTCTGGAAATATCTGTCGTAATATTTTTTTCACTCTTAAGTGCTTAGCAGCATCGTTTAAAGAATTCCAATCTGTGAGATAGGGCTTGAACTCTTCAAGTTTTCCTGGAGGTAAAACATTTGGCAATATGTGGCTTATATCTGCCATATGATTCCTTGTCAGCCAATCGAAAAGTTTCATTGGATCTGAAATAGAATAAAATAGATTACTTACCATTTTCAGCATGCATCGATTGCATGCTGCTGGAATCATGCAAAAAATTAATCTGTATAGGATCATGCAAAATGGTATTATTGTTCGTTGGAATCGACATCGTTATTGCAGTATATTCATTGATAGTGGCATTTGGCATACAAATCCCATTTGCACATAATTTCTTTCCGAATGGCTTGCGTACCATTGTTGCATACTTTTTGTAAGATTCACATTCATCATCATTAATTTTATCCCATTCTATGCCTTCTTTACGATATTCATTAATCAAATACCATAAACAAATACACTTCTTTGGCACATTTTTGGCTGGATATTCGTGTACCAAGAAATAATCGCAAAAATCTAAACATAAGGAATACATGCAAATTTCATCATGCATAAAACATCCATTACTAACCAATGATAAAAAATCTTGTTCCGTCTCTTTCTTTTATCGCCCTTATCAAGAATACTGTCTTCTTTTAATAGTACTTAGCGTTCGCTACACTGTGTCTACTTCATCAGAGCATCACTCGAATATAGATGAGTGCTCAACACCGATGGTACTATTATAAATATTCTATTAACTTTTATTAACTAAATTTATCATGCTAAAATAATTTAAGCTAATAAGTAACAAGTCAATCTTCAGGAAGAGATATGAATTAGACCAATGAATAGATTAATATATATTAAAAATAAGAAGCCTAGAACCGATGCAAATCCAACTAGATTTTAGATTATTATATTATTTTTATATTAATAAAAAATATTATACTGTTCATATCAACCATTTATTTAAAATATTGGAAAGCATGCAGCAAGCATTCAGGCAGGCATTCAGTTATTCTTGCATTCATTCATTCTATGTAACAATATTTATTAATTTCGATTTTTTGCGTATAAATCTCGATAAAACAATTAAAAAAATTGAATTCATGTAGGCATTTTTGAATTTTTTCATAAATTCCATTCCAAGAAAAATTACCTATAATTTCCAGTGTGAAATTGCGAAATATCGATCCTGCTTGGTTCCATACTTTACAAGCCCATGATCCCTATATAAATAATTATTAGAGTCCATTTTTTAACTCGAAATGGAATAGACAATTTTGCATTTCAAGAAATGCTTTATAAGCCAACGATTCCTCTATTTAGAGCTCATTTTTTATTTAAAATGAAAATTTTTTATTTCGTAAAATGGATATGCATTTATGCATTCGATTTTATCATATCAGTTTTTTTCAAGGCTTATTTAGTGCTATTATTTTTCAGCATGTTAAAAAAAAAATGTTAAAACCATCGTTGATCACCTGATCGCCTACTTCCACTCGTTTGATTTCAAGCGAAAAATGTTTTTTATTTTCACGCAGTCTTTCATTTTCGGAAAGCATTGTATAGTTAAGAAACTCTCCATTTCTATACCAATGTATCTGAAAATACGTGTATACATGTTTATAAGTGATTATACAGATGCATAGAGAAAACAAAACCATCACTAAAAGAATTAATCTTTGGTTTTATGTAGTACCACATGGAATTATCAGGTGAAATGTCATGGCTTGGTAACTTGGTAACATAACATAATTCGCCTATAAAACCTGTACTGAAATACAAGTCATACAAGACATACAATATTCTTCAAGATCTTTGCAAAATCAAATATTCAGATTGGTCCAGAAATCTGAGATTAGTTATATAAAACGTTTATAGCTATTTTTTAAAAAATATCGACTTAATTACAAATGAACAACCTGATTCGATGACGAAAAATGAATGTTTTTAATTTTTATAATTTTATAAAAAAATGCCTAATTTTGAAACAAAACCTTTGGAGCGGGCCTTGCTAAAGCTGTACATTTAAATGTGGCTTTATCATTTAAGAACACTTCATGAACAACTCGCTGATTTTGTTTGAATCGTGGCGGTCCGTCTGAAATTCTCTCAAAATATTGTTTTCATCCTTTCACTTGCTTCAGATTAAATTAAATTGGTTCAGATAAAAAGGTACATGATTGCCGATAATTTTTACATGCACCATGATATAATTTAATTTAAATACTAATTTAATTTTTGAGCTTTAATGCAATTTTATAATCGTTTAAAGATAGCACAAAATCGACACAGAAGCACTATTGTAAGCATTGATAATTTCTTTTTTAACCTAAAAATTACTGGTAAAAAAAATTAGTGAAATGTTCCCACATTTAATAGAAAAATTAAATCGTTATTTTGATTTAAACGAAAGAAATATTTCGATAATATTTAATAAAATAATATTAAATAAATTGAAAAAAACAGTTAAATTTTATTTCATTTAAGAAATTTCGTATAAATTTTTTTTTTCAAAAATTAATTTCTTTATTATAATTTACAAATTTAAATTGGTGTATTTTTATCCCAATTTCTTTAAATCTATGTTAATTAATATTTTAATTAATATTTTAATTAGTTATATATTTAATATATAAATTAATTAATATTATAATTTAATTCGTGATTTATTTTACTATATATATTTATAATTCGGCATTTATTTTCGATATTCCCAAACTTTTGACAATTTGTAATTCCATTTATTGTCGTTGATTTTTTATATTTTAGTGAAGATTAAGTTTTTTAATGCATTTTCAGTTGTTTTTTATTCCACAGTTTCGTGATGCGTCCGCCGATAGCGTCGCATGTTATCGCATGTTACTTATGATTAAACTCATAAATGATAAATCTTCAAAGATAATTTCTTAAAACATAAATTTCTTTTGATTTTCTTGAATTATTTAAAGTAATTAAAGTGCAAATATGGGAATTATTTTCCGCCGATCATCCATCTAAAAATTTTTAATAATAAAAATTTATTTTAAAAAAAAAGAAAATTTCTCTACCACTACTCTTCTAGTAGTAATACAGTATTTGAAATAAAAAATATAAAAATAAATTTGAAATAAATAGCAATGCGAAAAGCTAACTTTGTAACCACGGTCTTAATGGTTTCATTGTTTGAGTCCTCACGTCAATTAAATAAATATAGAGCAGAATAAAACATATCGTAAAACGATCGCGATTCAACATCATCGGTATATAACTTCTAATTTACATAAATATTTGAATAAATTCCAATAACAAGCAAGCTGAACAGATGCATTTTATGATAGATAGTAGATTGTTAAGGCATAAATAATTATGCAATAAACCGGCAACGATCACAGCCAAAAAAAGGAAATATTATCACAATATCACAATAGGGAAAACAATCTATTGGAATTTGTATTTCTTCATTTTTTTGTGCAAAAATAAACGACGACGTTGATTTATTTATGATTTTAATTTCAAACCATCTATTACGATTATTTGATTGCCATTGCAAAATAAAACTCTATTATCTACCACTTTGCAGAAGTTTTTTTGCAATGTATAAACAAAATTAATAAATTATATTGTTTAAAAAATCATGTGAAATTTAGCTATGAATTGCTTGTCTGACATATTTTAAAACCACCTTTTATTCATTCAAAAATCGTTTCTTAACTCATCTTCATCATTATTTTTTTCTACTCATTATTTCTGCTAGGGACGCTCACCATTGCTCGTTTCGCTGGACTACTAAAGCAGATAAATAAATTATGCCAAGGAGACGCGATAAAAGCATAGGTGGGTCACTTGTATCACACAAATTTTCCCCTTTTTTTCCTAGTGAAAGCGGGACCTTAATGCTCTGAACCCATCAACAGTCCACTGAGCCATTTCATCTTCACTTACTCTCGCTATTTCGCAATAATTTAGACGTAAAAAGCATGGTGCGTCGATTCGAATCTGCGCGATTCTTCTCAATTCTCGGCTGCAATCTTCTTGCGATTAACACCAAATTTTCCAATTTTACTGCACCAGCTATTAACATAAGATCGTTTTTGTTCAGATAACCATTTGGAAGTGAGGAGATGAAGATAACCATTTGGAGGTGATAGCATTGCTTAGGAATATTTAATTTAACATATGAAGTGGCACGAGTCGAACAATCTTACTTAATATTTTAACCAATAGTCCAAATATATTCAAGCATATTATCATCGCTGCTTGTTCACTGGAAATTGTTTTAATGTATTTTGAATCGTTAATGAAGAAAAGAATCTCCATAGGCCAAAAAATAAGGCAAGAAAAGAGTTTAATCGTGTATAAAATCCAATGTTTCAGTAATTCGAAAATACTTTCGTTATTCGGAAATTCACTTATCGTGAAAATAGAGATAAAAGTTCAGCTCCGCAAATTCTTTTTTTTTGAAAACATTTGTTCAAGTAAAAAACATGCAACAATTTTATGAATCGAAGAAAAAATATATATCTGAATGGATTCTTAGCTAATTGATACTATCGCTTTGAATGTTGGAATAGGAAAATTTTTATATGGAAATAAATTGGAAAAAGGACGGCATAAGCCAGAACGCATTCCAGAATGGAATTTTTTATATATAAAGCATGCATTTATTCTCATCTTCACTGTGATTATATAAATCAAGCACCAATATGAAATAATAGGAGCCAGTGGTTCGGCGTATCGGAGTAAACTTATTACTGAAGATCCAGGTGATGCTGACGATATTTCTATACGTCTATCGCCGAATGACTGCATGGCAAAAATTTCTGATTATATTAACCAGCTGAGCGACTGAAAACAACCGAAAAAGATGATACTAATCATTTTTCTACTTACATTGAAGAGTGCCACCAGTAGTGAAGTCTCGAACTTTAGTTTAAATTGTCTCTTTTGCATTTTCAAAATATCTGTTAGCAAAAAATGCATCGCTAGTGTACTAAAAAAACAATAAAAATTAACTTTTTAATGATTTATAATGAACTATTCAAAACACGACTAGCGATAGTCATAAGACCTTCTGGAATTCGCTTCGATTCTAAGAAATGTAGCAAGAAACTTGACTAAATGACCAGAAATAGAAAAATATTGGCATAAAAAATTTCGCGAATTTCTTAAGAGAGATAGAAATATAAATTACTGTTTTTTTTAAAAAATTTCGAAAATTCTTATCATTTCTGATTTTTTTAAGATGAGATTTAGATGAATTTTTTTCTCACTATCATGGTATAATAGCTAATTTTATGAGAAATAAATGATGCAAAAAATTAGGAACATATTTGACAATTTTAATGATGCTTGATACTTGATAATGATAGTGATAAGGCTTTGTTGAATTGAGTTCATTTTTCTTATCTGTTAAAATTTCTCTAAAAAATTAAGGAAAAAAACGGGAGAAAAAAATGAATATCTTCTTTTGTTGAATTCAAGCATAAGTTCTATTGCGAAAATTCATTTTCGATAAGGAAGCAATTTGGCAATTTACTAAAGATTTTTGCGAAAACATCTCTTTTAATACAAAGAAGAAATTGCTCAACGAACACCTACAAACGTTTTTTTACAAAAATATTAACCGACCAATATTAACGAAAAAGCGCATTATTGAAATTAACTGAAAGTAAGCATTGTTTATTTATTTGATTCGACGCAATAGTTTTAAGAAATGGCTTCGAAATTAAAAGTAAAACAAAACTGAAAGATCTAATAAGAAATTTTAAAAATTAGTTTCTATGGGCTAAATAATTGTCAAACAAATGTATTTTGGTGGAACGATAACGATAGGTTTTCGTAAATAAAAAAATTAAAGAAAGGAAAATTGACTCAAGAAGTCATCGCTCTTCTGGTTTCTTCTGGTTCTTCTGGTGCCCAATATGAGATGCTTTCGCCAAAAAGCCAGAGCAAACATAGAGATGTGTTCCTACACTGTTGTCAGCCAAATAAAACAATATGTGGCTTAAAATAACTTTCCTACTCGTTCCTAATATGTTTAGACGCAATATTTTCAAGAAGTAGACTCAAGAAATCCAGCAAGCATATTGAACGACTTCAGAGGTACTTCTTAAACAGATTAAGTCCATAATTAAGTCACAGAACCAAATAAGTTAGGCCACTGTGCGTTAGAAGAATTAAATAATGCTTATTCTTCTTAAACTTTAGGACCTTTACGGTCTATATTTGTCACTTATCGTTTTAATTCATATATCTATTCACGCTTACTTATTAGTTTCCTTTTTTTTGCTATCCGTTTTCATATGGATTTTCGCTATCTGAATACTTATCTTAATAATTATTTTTTTAGCTCAAATATACCGCATATGGCATCAAATTCTGCTTGGTTTCATTGTATAAATAAATAAATATTTCGATATGCAAACTTACATAAATTTGGGCGTAAAATAATATATAATTGAACTACATTAATATTATTTTATGCGAAATGTAAGCAGAAAATGGCAAAAGTGAATTACAACACAGTGAAAAGACAAGCAAGCAATTGTTTAAGCGACAACTGCCAGGGACAATATTGAGAAAAATATTTTGAAAAATTTTGTTTTTTTCGAACTTTGTCAGCAAAAAAATAGAGAAAACATTGCAATAAAGAAAAAACAAAATAAAATAGACGCAACCGTATGAAAAACTCGATGCAATTTAAAGTAATCTTAAATATTGCAATTAAAATCAATTAATTAAAAGAAGACAAATAATATTGAGTGATAAAAAAAATGATAGAAAATAAAATGATAAATGATAAAAATAATTTTTAAAATAAATGATAAGATAATTTCTATTAAAAAAGTTTAATAATTAAAAGATTATTAAGTTATTTTTCTAGACAATGATTGTTTTTTTTTGGTATAAAAATTTAGTTTTCTCAAAGAAATTTGTAAAGTTTAAAAATTCGATTTGACATATATACTTTTCTAGACTCATTAAATCACGCTTTACAAGAATGTCACATGATTTTATTGAATTTTTCAATTTTACAATGAATAAATAGCAAATCCAAAATAAAATATTCTAAAAGAAGCTGAGGTGCGAAGACAGTATAAATATATTTTATATTTATATTTGTTTTTTTTTCGAATTCGCCAACGACTTAAACAAATATAAATAAATGAAAATAAATAAATTTAGTTTACAAAATGAAGATTTTATAATTTGAAAAATCGCAAATTTTTTATTTTTTTGAACCATTTTCTGGTTTTATTTATTAATGTTGCTCGTTACCATGAAAATGAACGAACCTTTAAAAGTTTTTCACTTTTTATTTTTCGAAAAAAATTTTCTCGTGAATCTAATATTCATTATTTAAAATTAAGATCACTCTTTTAATAATTCCACTAATTAATGATTGTATTCTATCGATTCGTTACTGCGCTAATGCATTTATAGGTAGAGGAATTTTGCCACAGTCACAGCTTTACAGCCATTGGTCTATAACGCAAGAAAGAGAATGACCAGTGAATGTGAATCTTTCTAAAATCCAGTGGCTATAAGGATAGAGGTTGCAACAGCTTCTATATAATAAATGAAAGAGATCTAAGCGTAAATATAACCGGAGCTATGCGTTCAAAAACTCTCCGTCTCATGAGAAAATGACGATTCCATAAATTTTTCCATCATTCCATTCATATTTAAAATTACAAATTTTTTCAGAAATATTTGAAAAATATGACAAAATAAATAAAAAAGGTAAAAAATACAACAAAAAAAACAAAAACAACAAAAAAAAAAATAAAGCAGATAACACCACAAATAGCTGTTGCAAATAGTTGTTAATTGTTCAGTTCATCGGATGTTCCTTTTTTCAAGCAAATTTTCAGCTTTTTCCTTCTTATCACTTCGCTTTACGATTTTTCAAATTCTTTTTCAATAGAATTTTAAGCTTTCTTTTAATTTTATTCGAAAAAATTATTCATATATTTATATTTAATATTGGCGCATAAATTATTTTTGCACATTTGATTACTAAAATATAGGGAAAAAGAAAGCATTTGTTTCATCGCATTAATCGTATTTCAATATTTGGCGCCTAGATTTGATGAAAATTGTGATAAAAATTGCGTTATATTAATGAAGTTTTAACAATAAGCAATAAAAAAAATTGGCGCAAATAGCTGATAATTTGGTATTCAATGAAAAAAAAACATCCTATTGAATAGTCGACAAAATGGAATTTAATTCATTTATTAACTATGAAAATTGAGAAAATTTTAAAAAAATTATAATTAATAAAGTAAATTTGGCAAAAATTTAAAAAAAAAAGCGAATTTGTCCATTAAATGAAAAATATTTATTATATTGAAATAAAATTTTGAAGAGATACTTTCGTTCTGAAATAAACTGAAAATTGATTATTAAACAAGAAAACAGGTAATGAATGCGTACAGTTCAAATGGAATTCAACCTGAAAACGACTGCTAAATGAAATTCGTTGAGAAATTAAAAGAAATTGCTCGATCGATTGATTAATTGATAGATTTGATGATTAGAAAAACAAGACCACAATCACGAACATGGAATGCATGCATGTATCTATCTATCTAACGTAAAAGTGTAAATTTAGAAGAGAAGAAATCAATGGACTATTTTTTAATCAGTAGAACGTAGCCTGAGGGGTGAATTATAGACAATGCAGGCATATTACTCTAATGAACTTTACTTAATATCGATAAATAAATTATACGTCTTTTATAAATAATGCAACAATAGCAATAGTAAAAAAAGAAGAAATTATCTGAAATGATCAATTTTTACTTGAAAAATTCGATATTTTAAAAAATTTTCAAAAAATCAAAAAAACCAAGAAATATAAAAAATGAACCAACTACTCAGAAATTAGGAGAGAAGCATACTGAGCTTGAGAAAATACCGATAAGCCGTGAGCTTCACGAAAAATATGAATTCATTATCGGCCGCCCATAAGTCAGCAATTAGACAGCTCTCAAATGAATAAAAATTCTGGCTACTAAGGAAGTTATTAAAGCTCCAAATTTTGTTCATTAAGATGATAACTGATAACAACAAAAA